AGAGAGAGAGAGAGAGAGAGAGAGAGAGAGAGAGAGAGAGAGAGAGAGAGAGAGCGCTCCTCCAGAACCAGCTCTCCCTAGTAGGGTACAAAGAGGGGGAATGACATCCCACAGCACTAGCCTGGGCTACAGTGTGAACTGAGCAAAAGGAGAGGAGAGGTAGAGAGATCTGTGGCTGAGCATAACTGGGTACACACAGCCCTTCTGCCTGCCTGGCTCTGCACTGATTTCACAAGCCCAGGAAGTGAAGTAAGAGCCCACAACATTGCCTATGAAGAGAGTGAAGTTCAGCTGTAAGGCACTTACTTCAATTGTGTGCTAACACTGAACTCTGATGAAAAATAGAAACCACAGGGTGGTCATGTGTTTGTGTAGAGCCCTGGGTCCCATCTCCAGCCCTGCACAAACCGGGTGCTATGGTGCACACCTGTCATCCAAGCACTGGAAGGTAGAGGCATGGAAGCTAGAAGGCTACAAGTTCAACGTTCTCCTCAGCTACATACAGAGCTCTGGGCTAGCATGTGGGAGACTATCAAAAAGACAAAAAAGATGAAAAAAGAAAAATAGAAAATGACAAGCCAATTGTGGTGGCACAAACCTGTAATGCCAGCACTTGGGAGATGGAGGCAGGAGGATCAGAAGTCCAAGGCCCACACTGGCTACAGAACCAAGCTTGAGGCCAGACTGGAGGTATTATGAGACCCTGTCAAAAAGAAAGGAAGACGAGGAGAGAGAGAAGAAGGAAAAGGAGAATGAGGAGGAGGAGGAGGAAGAGGAGAAGAAGGGCGGGAGGAAGAGAAGAATGAGGAAGAGGAGGAGGAGGGAGAGGAGAAAGAAGAAGATGAACAGGAGAAGGACCAGGAGGGGCAGTGGCTGAGTGGTTAAGACAGTGCCACTCTCACAGAGACCTGAATTCAGTTCCCAGTACCCACATCAGACAGTTCACAACTACCTGCAACTTCAATTCCAGGGGATTCTATGACCTCTTCTTGCTTCTGTGAGCACCTACATTCACATGTGCATACCCCTACGTAGACAGACAGACAGACAGACAGACAGACACACACACACACACACACACGCACACACACACAGTTAAAATAAAATTAAAAGCCAAGCAAGCGAGGCAGCTGTGTCTTGACACAGTGAAAGCCAGATTCTGAGAAACCTCCAGAAGTCATCCTACCTTGTCCACATTGGCGCGGGTCTTCGCGGATGTCTCCACATACTGCACACCCCACTCTTCCGCTTTGCCTCGGGCCTCATCCACGGGCACCTGCCTCCGCTCCTCCAGGTCGGACTTGTTGCCCACGACCAGCAGTGGGATCTTATCCTCCTCCGCCTTGACTCGGAGGATCTGTTCCCTGGGGGCAGTGTGTCAAGAACGGTGTGGTTAAGAAAGCAAGAGGGAGAGGCACTGGGAAGACTCAGGGGCTGAGTGCTTCCCTCCATGCAGCCTGAGGACCCGAGTTTGATTTACACTGTGAGTGGTGAAAACCGGCTCCCACAGGTTGTCCTCCGTCCTCCAAGGTATTTGTGCTGGTGGATGCACAGCCCTACATATAAATAAAGTTGCTTTGTTTTGTTTTATTTTAAAGCTAGCATATGAAGTCAGCTTTACAATTAGCTGCCGTGTGCCTCGGCGTTTACAGGGCATCTAGAAAGCTTGGCTAAAGAACAAGAGAAATCATTCCATTGGGAAGATATCAAAATGGGTCTCTCCTGGCAGGGGCTTTTCCAGGCTGGCCCTCAGCTTTCCACCACGACAATCATCTGGTCTCTCTCCAGCTGCAGATTTCTCTGGCCCACACTCCGACAAAAGAGACGGCTACACAGGAAGTTAGGAGTCTGCATCTCAACAGTGTCCCCCAATTATGGGGGAAAAAGGTGGAGAGGGAAGTTCAGGAAGGAACCCTCTGTGAATTTCGAAGATGTGGCCCAGCAGGCAGGGTGCTTCCACTGCGCACACACAGCCGCCTCCCCCCCCCACCCCCGTTCCATCTCAGCACCCTATAGATAAGCATGGTGGTACCTGCCTGTAAACCCAGTACTTAGCAGAGACAAGGAGACCAGAAGTTTATGTTCGTCTTGGCTACATAGTAAATTTAAGGCTAACCTGGGCTATGCAAGACACTACTTAAAAACAACAACAACCAACCAACCAAACCAAACAAACAAAACAAAAAAACCCCATCAAACTCAAAACTCATAAAAATGTTTAATAATTCCAACACCGGCACAAGGGAGAAAAGAAGGCAGTGTGTACACGTGATCTGTTTTATCTTCGGGATGGCATCAAAATCAGGTTATGAAGAGAAAACACAGTTGTGATCAAAAGTGCTATTCACATAGAAACTTCCTGAACGCTCAAAACATCTACAGAGGCAACTGCCGAGTCCTCTGCTGTCCGTCTCCTCCGTACACAACGCAATGCAGGTGCAGAAAGCAAGCCAGGACCTTCAGCTCTTCAGAGACCCGAGACCACAGGCACGACCAGATGTCCAGTCTTAGCGTCTGCCTTCTCTACCAGATGGGCTGAGTTCAGCTCTTGCTACCTCCCTGGCTCATCAAGGCTGCCTTCCAAATCTTGAGACATGTTTAGCTGTCTCTCTTTACCTTTGGTTGTCATCTGACCTCATGAACCCGTTAAAGCTTAGGCACTCTGGAGATGACTCAGAGGAAGGGGCGTGGCATCAAGCCTTACTACCTGAGTTCAATCCTTGGCACCCACGTGGCAGGAGAGCGCTGATTTCCCCAAGTCCTCCCCGACCTCCACACTTTCTCTGTAGTACAAATACACACACATGCACACACACACACCACCCCACACAAATACTAATAAGAACCATTCTTAAAGGATGGAGAGAGGGAGCTGGGTAGATGGCCAAGTGACGTTTGTCCCCAAGAACACACATAAAAAAGTTAGACAGGACAGCTGGTAACAGGCCCTGTGTTCTCGGCACCAGGAGGGTGGAGGCAGGGGGATCCTTGGACCCGCTCACCAGACAACCCCATTACTTGAGACACTGCTTCAAAAAATGATGTGGACAGTGAAAACAGTTAAGGTTGACCCATACTTACACACACACACACACACACCACATTCATTTAGTGACTAGAGAGATGGCTCAGTGGTCAAGTACACTGGCTGCTCTTCCTGAAGACCCAGGTTCAATTCCCCGCACCCACATGGTAGCTCACAACCTTCTGTAATCTAGTCCCAGAGCAGCCAATGCCCATTTCCGGCTTCCACAGGCGACAGGCATGTGTGTGGTGCACAGATACATATGCAGACAAAATACCCATACATACAAAATAAATAAAAATGAAAGTAAGAAAGATTACAGGGAAAACTACAGGACTTGGTTTTCCTCAGCTCTACCCGAGTTCTTAAAACAAAATGTCACCTTCCAGGTATGGTGACACACGCCCTTAATCCCTGCACTTGGGAAGTAGACACAGGTGGATTTCTGTAAATTCAAGGCCAGCCTGGCCTTAAAGTGAGTTTCAGGTTGTCCCAGACTATGGATATTCTTATGCTTCTGATCTTAAATGTCCCCCAAAATGTTTTAGGCTCAGTGTCCAGTCTGTGGCACTACTGAAAAATGCTTGAACCTATAGGAGGCAGGGCCCGGTGGGAAGAAGCTAGGTCTCTGGAAGGGGACACTAGGACTCTAGACTCCCTTTTTAGCATTTCAGCTGCCGTGTGGTGCACAAGCTTTTAGAAAAAAAAAAAAAAAAAAAAAAAAAAAAAAACCATCATGCTGCACGGTCCTTCCCAGGCCCAGGGCAACACATGAACATAGACTGTAGCCTTGGAAACCACAAACCAGAGTAACTTCTTTTCTGATAAGCTGACTAGCTAGAGTATTTTGTCAGAGCAGTGGCAAAGTAGATTAACACAGAAATGTTCTTAAGGAGAGTAAATGAAAATAAAAACTGCAATTATGCCAGGCAGTGGTGGCGCACGCCTTTAATCCCAGCACTTGGGAGGCAGAGGCAGATAGATTTCTGAGTTCGAGGCCAGCCTGGTCTACAGAGTGAGTTCCAGGACAGCCAGGGCTATACAGAGAAACCTTGTCTCAAAAAAAACCCAAACAAACAAACAAAAACAAAACAAAACAAAAAACAAAACAAAACCCTGCAATTCTATAAGAAAATGGAATGTTGGTGTGGTGAAGAGCCAGTTACAGAAGAAGTACACCCCAATGCTCACTGTTTCTTTAAAACAGAATTTGGAGTTGGAACCACTGGCTGCTCTTGCAGAGGCCTTGGGGTCTGTTGGCACACTCACACGCCTCTGGCCGTTGTATGTACTGCACACACTTGGTACAGAGACATACATGTAGACAAAACACCAGTGCACATAGATAAAAACAAGTACAACTTTTAAAAAAGACATGTGCAGAAACCCTAAAACATGGACGCCCAAAGAAACAGAAGCAATGGTGGACCAAAGTGTACCAAGATTCAGAGAACCCTGTGGCAGAGTTCCTCCACCCAGATCACTTGAAGCCTCAGCCTCCAGGCAGGAGGGTCAGGGACAGGCTGTCCCCAGTCAAGCACACCTGAACTCAGCTGTGGCGGTGAAAGACTCGTGCTCTGTGATGGAGAACACCAGCAGAAAGCCTTCTCCACTTCGGAAGTAGTTGTCACGGATGGCTGCATAGTCTTCCTGGCCTGCTGTGTCCAGGATGTCTATCTGAACTTCTTCTCCGTCGAGAACCACCTTCTTTCTGTAACTGTCAGCTTTGGTGGGCTCATAGTCTTCTACAAACTGGGGAAACAGTAAGAATCCTTTACAATCAGCTCTGTATTCACTAAGAACCTAGAGATATTACACCAGAGAAGACACTCAAGAATACAAACAACCTTTCTTTCCTTCCTTCCCTCCTTCCTTCCTTCATTCCCTCCTTCGTTCCACCTACCTTCCTTCCTTCCTTCCTTCCTTCCTTCCATCCTTTGACAGGAGTCACACTATGTGTCTCAGGCTGGTCTTGAGCTACTCGAGCCTCCTGTCTACCTTCCAAATACTGGAATTAGAAGCACACTCCACCATGCTTGGGAACCCTCCTTTCTTGATAGCTCTTGGTTATTTTATTTTATTTTATTTTATTTTATTTTATTTTATTTTATTTTATTTTATTTTTTAAGCTTTCAACAACAGGGGCCAGGTAGCCCTGCTTTGCAGATAAGAAAAGCAAGCACTAAGCACAAAAATACAGTGTAAAATTATAATACAAACAATGGCAAAGGTGAGGCTCAGGAGCCTGTATTTATAATGAGCAGAAATATAAAATGCATCCCAAAGGAATCTGGCAAGAGGGACCAGAGTGTAGAATGAACCAACAGAGGGGCTGGGAGATGGTTTAGTGGGGAACGTGCTGGTTATCAACCAGGAAGAGCTGAGTTTGACCCCCACATCTCACTTTAAAAACAAACAACAAAAGCCAGAGGCTGGAGAGAGGGCTCGGCAGTTAAGAGTACATATGGTCCTCCTAGGGGACCCAAGCTCAGGCCACAGTGCCCTTGGGTACTCCAGTAGGTCTAGGGGGTCCAGCAGGCATGAAGAGCTGGATTCCTATGCACACACCCACCCAGTTACATGCCAGTACATGTAACTAAAAATAATAAAAAAAATCTTAAAAAAGACACAGTAATAGTGCATGCTTATAATCCCAGTCCTGGGGCACGAGAACAGGTAACACTGGCCAGCTAAGGCCAGCTAAGGCCAGCCTACTCAGTGAGCCCCAAGCCAATGAGAGACTTTTCTCAAAAACAAGGTGGACTATGTCTGAGGAACATTACCTGGTGATGTTCTCTGGCCTCTGTAGGCACACAAGCATGTGCACTCACATGTATGTGCACACACCACCACATGCATCTGCATACATGAACATGCACACACACACACACATACACACAGGTAAATTAATAAATAAATCCAGTCAATCATTGAATGAAAGCAGACACAGTGAACACCTTATTACCTTGAAGTAGAGAAGGCCTTTTTAAACTATGACTCAAAGTCCAGAAGCCATGTATAAAAAATTTGATAAATTAGATTTCCCAAGAATGAAAAACAACAAAGGCGAGGCACAGCACAACACGGCACAGCATGGCACCGCACGGCACAGCACAATGCAAGCACTAACCAGACCGCGAGCTGCACACGGTGTACAGAGCACTCTTCTTTAACATACACCAGTGGGAGGCATTACCACCTCACAGAGCATCCAAAGCCAGCATGGAGACATGCCCTCCTCACTGGGTGCAAAAGAAAGGAAGGAGGGAGAGAGAAGGGAGAGAAAAGAGAGCAGGAGAGACAGGGGAAGAGCTACCCTGAGACACACTTTGGGGAAAGACATTTTGCTCCCTGTGGGACAGAGGACACGACCATCCTACGGAGAGGTTTGTCAACATCTGATAAAATGAGAAGTACTTTACCCTCTGACTTCCCACATCTAGCTGTTAGGAATAATCTCCAGAAACACTGGCCCAGATATCAAGGCCACAGCTGGCATCAAAGGGCATCACAAAAGAGGAAGGCCCACCCAAATGCTCAGCTAAGTTGGCTACATAGCTGAATGCTTCACTGTTGGAAAAAACAGGAGGAAGGGAACTATATATGGGCATGTAGAAAATTCTAGAATAACAGTGTCATTCTGCAGCAGACCACCAGTAGAGGCTATTACCTATGTATATAAGGATGTATCCCCCAAAGACAAAACAAATACAAAAGCTGCCAAGAAGAAAAAACAGAAGCAACTTAGCCTCTCCAAATGTTTTTTTTTTCAAATAAAGACATACACACACACAAATTAACTAATTCATGAGACTTTAGCAAACTCTTAATAAAATACAGTCTCTTTAAGAAATTTTTAATTACATTTATATAGTGTGTATGTATATGTGTGTATTTGCATGTGTATGAGTGTGTATATTTATGTGTATATGTCTGTGTGCATGTGTACATGTGTGTGTATGTGTGTGTTTGTGTGTATAGTGTGTTTGTGTGTATGAATATGTGTTTGTATGCGCATATGTGTATATGTGTTTATGTGTGTATGTGTGTGTTCATGTGTGTATGTGTGTGTTTGTGGGTATATGTGTGTTTGTGTGTACATGTGTGTATGTATGTGTGTATGTATGTGTTTGTGTGAGTGTTTGTGTTTGTGTGTGTGTGAGTGTGTGTGTGGGTAGGAGTGTGGGAGAGTCTGTGCTGCACATAAGTGGAGGTCACAGGATAACCTCGGGCGTCAGCCTTTGTCTCCCCCCTTGCTTGTGAGGCAGGGTCTCTTCCTGCTGCTTGACACTGTGCACGTGCTGGGCTGGCTTCTAGGGAGTCTCCTGCTGCACCTCTGATCTCCCCACAGAAGTCCTGGGGTCGCAGACTGTGCTCAGGTTTTACACGGGCTCTAGGGGCTCAAACTTACACTTGCATGGTGTGAGTTTACCCACACCATGTGTCTTATCCACTGAGCTATCTCAGCCAGGCCTAGCACTGGTGAGGCTAGGTTTGGGGCTAGCCTGAGCAACTAATGATACTGTGCCTCAAAATACACCAGCCCTATGATGCCCACGTAAGCACCCCTAACTGAACTCCATGGGTCACACAAAGTAGACCCGGAGATAGATGGGTCTCCTCAGGACTAGGAAGCGAGAGCTGGAGGAGGGAAAACAGGAGAGTGGAGAATGAATTCAGTCCACACAGAGTACATGTGTGTATGAAACTGTCACAATAAATCTGAAATTTATTTTTAAAGAATGAGGGATGACAGCTGGGCACGGTGGCACTTGCCTTTCATGCCATCACCTGGAAGGCAAAAGCAGGGATTTTTTTTTTTTTTTTTTTTGAGACAAGGTTTTCTTGTGTAGCCTTGACTGTCCTAGAAATCACTCTATAGACCAGGCTGGCCTTGAACTCAGAGATCTGCCGACCTGTCTCTGTCTCCCAAGTGCTGAGACTGAAGGTGTGTACCATCACTGCCTGGCCAGCCTGGTCTACAAAGCAAGTTCTAGTCCAGCTAAAGCTACAGAGGAGGGGGGGGAGCCTGTCTCAAAAAACTGAGGGCTAGAGAGATGGCTCAGTGATTAACAGCACTTCCTGCTCTTATACACTTCCAGGAGATCTGATGCCTTCATCTGGTCTCCATGGCTACTTGTAAATAAAAAAGGATAGAAAAACATAACAGCTAAGCAACGACATGAACGGCTGGAAAATACAATGGGTGGGCATAACTGGACTTCTTACGCTGGGCACATAAAACATAGTGACTAACTCAAAACATCAACAGTCTGGATGTAAGAGCTAAGATAAAACTCAGAAAGAAACACAGCACAACCATGAGTGAGCCTGGACTCGGCCATAAACTCTTAGGAACAATACCAAAGCACAAGTAACAAAGTAGAAATAAGCTGGGGGCCAGTGAGATGGCTCAGGGGATAAAGGTGTTTGTCACTAAGCCTGATATGAATTCCATCCCTGGGACTCACACGGTGGAAGAAGAAACTAAGTCATGAAAGTTTCCTCTGACCTCCACACTTGCACCTCACATGTCAAACACACACAGACACACACATACACAGAGACACACACACATAGACACACACACAGACACACACAGACACACATAGACACACACAGACACATACACACACACAGACACACACACAGACACACACATAGACACACACAGACACTGACACACACAGACACACACACACTGACACACACACAGACAGACAGACAGACACACACACACACACACACACTCAGGGCTGGAGAAATGGCTCAGCAGTCCAGCTCTTCCAGAAGAACCAGGTTCAATTCCCAGCATGGCAGCTCAACTTTCTATGCACAACTCCAGTTCCAGGGAATCTGATGCCCTCTTCTGGCCTCTGTGGGTACTACACATGTGTGGTACACAGGCATAACATCAATACACATAAAATAAATTAATTAAAATTTTGAAAATGTAAAACTTTGACAAAAGTTTTACAATCAAAGGGAGATATCAGAAAAGGTGGCACCATCTGGGAAGGCGGTGGAGATTTTAGGAAAAGGAACCTTCCAGGAGGAAGTTGGTCACTGAAGGTGGCCTAGGAGATTAATATCCTGCCCCACTTCCTGTTGGCTTTCTGAGTGCGGATGTGACGTGACCAGCCAGCCACCTGCTCCTGCTGCCGTGCCGTCGCCAATATAACAGAGAGCATCTGCAGGGGCTTTTTCCTTTAAGTTGCTTTTGTCAAGGTTTAATATCACAGCAACAGGAAAGTACTCGAAACAACAATTCATTATTTTATATTTTCTTTTCTTGACACAAGGCTTTGCTACAAAGCCCAGGCTGGCCTCTAACTCATGATCCTCCTGCCTCAGCCTCCAGAGTGTTGAGATTGCAGGTATACATGATCACACCTGATTAGAATGACGAAAGAGTGAATTTTGGGTCAGCAAGATGGCTCAGTGAATGGATGTTTCCAAGCCTGAAAACTTGGGAGTTTGAATCCAGGACCCACGTGGGGTCCATGAGAGAGAGAATTGACTCGCCCCTGTTGTCCTCTGACCTCCAGTGTGGTGTGGCATGCATACACGCACACACACACGCACACACACGCAGACACACACGTGCACACACACGCGCGCGCACACACACACACACACACACACACACACACACGTGCACACACATGCGCGCGCACACACACAGACATACACAATTGAGTTTTCGTCCAGACAAGGCTCTCCTAATCTCTCTTGTATCTGCAGCCATGATAAGAGCAGCTTCGGCTGGAAGAAGATTCTTGATCTTGGATTTGGCACAATGTCTTGATGGTCAGAACTCCAGGAATCTTCGTCGATGTTCTCCACAGCCCTGCCCATGCTGCGATTTCTCTCTGCCTAAACTCCACTCCAGGATGAAAGCAGGTTGCCAGTGTAAATGGCAAGAGGACTGGGGTTGGAGATGGCTGACTTGGTAAAAGTGAGTTCACGCCCCAGAACCCACATATAAAGCTGGGTGTGGCCATGAGTGCTTGTGATCTCAGTATTGGGAGACAGAGAGAAGCAATCCCAGCTGTTCATTGGCCAGTCAGCTCTCACCTCAGAGAACTTCAGACAGTGAGACCCTGCCTCAAAAGTTAAGGTGGACAGTTCCTGAAGAATGACAATTAAGGTTGTCCTCTGGGCTTCCATATCCATGTGCGCACACACACACATACACACACGCCATAAAATTAATAGAAGAGAAAAGGTTATTTTTGATGGCTTCAGAGCTTCACTCCACAGTCCTTAGGACCCAAGGTGAGGTAGAGGAGGTGGTGAGAGAAACAACAGAAATGGCTTCTCACCTCCCAGCAACCAGGAAGCAGAGAAGAGCCAGGAAGGGAGTGGGACTCTGATATCTTGTTTAAGGACACACTTCCGATGACCTAACCTCTCCAGATGAACTCAACTCCCTAAGGTGCTATAGCCGGAGGGTCCGTTCCTCAACATTCAACCCTTCCGGAGACATTCAAGACCTGGTGCTGGGGAGTAGCTCAGTTGATTGAGTGCCCACCTGTCACATGCAAAGCCCCGAGCTCCATCCCCAGAGCTTCATAAACTGGGCAAGGTGCCACACACCTATCATCCCAGCAAGGGGAGACATAGGAAGATCAGAAGTTCAAGGTTATCCCCGGCTATATAGTGAGTTCCAGGCCAGCCTGAGCTATAGAATATTCTATCTTTAAAAATGTTGGAGTTGGAGAGATGGCCCAGTGGTGACAAGTACCTGCTGCTCTTGGAGATGACAGGAGTTTGGTCCGCAGAACACACTCTGGGCAATTCCAACTGCGTAAAACTCCAGGGCATCCAATGCCCTCTTCTGGCCTCTGAAGGCAACTGCACTTTTGTACACAACCCCGCCCTCCATACACACATACGTTTTTCCATGTGCACATAATTTAAAATAAAAAATTAAGTTATAGCACATATACGGAGGCATCTCTCTTCCCTTGTTCCTATCTCAAAGAAAGCACACATAATGCTGGAAATACAGTGTGCAGAGAGACTCCTTCCATTTCTACTCCCACTAAAATCACGGCTAGGTCAGCAGCCAGAATCTTCTGCTGAGACCCACTCCCTGAAGCTATTCTAACACTCCATGGGGAAAGGGACATAGAACACACCTGGAGCAGACACACGTGATGTCACAGCAGGCGCAGGCTGCGCTGGCATCACTTACCTCGTCATACATGAACTGAAGTGTCAGGGCTGACTTGCCGACCCCTCCACTGCCAACCATGATGACCTTGTGAAGGACCAGGGAACCCTGGCTCTTGCCTTTGTTGGCAGCCATCCTGCTGATCTGAGGTGCTGACACACGGACAGATGGCCCAGATGAGGAGCTGCAGGTGACAGAGACAAGGTGCTTAGAGAGGATGTGAGTCCTATCCATCAAATGACATATGACAGACATCCTTACACTTTAAATGTTTGATTTTCATTTTAAATTGTGAGTATATGTGCATGCCTGTGTGCATATATGCACCTGTGTGTGTGTGTGTGTCTGTGTGTCTGTGTCTGTGTGTGTGCGTGTATGTGGCAACCTCAGAGGCCAGAAGAGATGTCAGATCCCCTGGGGCTGGAGTTGGGGGTGGTCATCTTAGCGCCAAGCCATTTCTCCAGCCCTCCCCTGCACCTTAGAAACACTTAACCCATTCCAACAGAGAAAGGCCTGGAGAGGAAGAGCCATGACCATTTGGCAACTCTAAAGTCACTTACACAAAGGGAACCAGGATAGGACAAAGCTGAAAAAGGAGAAATGGAGGTAGATATCCAAAGTCTGCACCACTAGGGATGGGTGCAAGGAGCCAGTCACTTTATAAAAGTCAATACAGCCTAAGGCAGAGATGCTTCAGTTGGCGAAGAGCTTACATGAGACCATGAGGTCAAGCCCCAGACCCCAGATAAAAAGAGTGAGGCTTGAAGCTCAGCACTCAGGAGGCAGAGGCCCATGCAGTCCCAGCACTGAAAAGGGGGTGACAGGTGGATCTGGGGGTTCGGGGGCCTGATAGTCTAGCCAACTGTTTGAAGGCTAAAGAGTGAGCAAGCCTACCTAAAAGTAGAATGGCACTCAGCGCTGTCTTCTGACCTCACCATGCACACACCTTCCCCACCCACCTGGCACACACACACACACACACACTTTAAAATGACAGCAGCCCTGCAGGATTTCTGGAAGGTGAAGCAAATGAGCTGTTCAAGTTCCTATTCCCAACTACTCCCCAGTCAAACATGTGCTACGGGGGGGGGGGGGGACAGTCTGGGGACCTCAATCTCCAGCTCTTTACTCTCACTTCTCTCCTCGTTCATGTTCCTCTGCTCCCCACTGCTAACACATACACATGCACACGTGCATGTGTGATGCATGCATGGACACTATGACCACGCAAGGAAGCCTTAGAACAGAGGCAACTTCTCAGATGAGAAGCCAAGACCCCGAAGGAGCCACCGTCAAGTAAAGAACACACTAGAGGACAGGGGACAAGGTTTAGCAGACAAGGATGTCTCTCACAAGTGAGACAACCTGAGTTCAGTCTCCAGGACCCACACAGTTGAAGGAGAGAACCAATTCCCGTAAGCTGTCTTCTGCTGTCTGCACACGTGCCCTGGCATGGCCACACCCTCCATACACAAAATAAGTCGTTTTAAAAATGAATCGATTAAAAGAGCCAGGTCTGGTGCTGCATGCCCTTAATCTCAGGACTCTCTTGAGCTTGAGGCCAGCCTTGTTCACAAAGTGAATTCCAAGGCATCCAGAACCTATCACCCAATGTGAGGGGGGGTGGGGGAGGGGGGACACAAGACAGGACTGAACTAGAGAGATGGGTCAGCAATTAAAAGCAATGGGTACTCTTCCAGAGGACCCAGGTTTGATTCCCACCACCCACATGGGGGCTCAGAACTGCCTGTAACTCCAGTCCCAGGGGATATGATATACTCTCTGGGCGCCACAGGTACCAGGTGTACATGTGGTACACAGATATTCCAGAAGGCAAAAATATCCATATGCATTAAACAACTTAAAAATTTTTTGAATGAATATGTTAGAGGAACTAACATTCTAACAACAATCAAGAGGCTCCTTCATCATCAGAAACCCTCTGAGGCAGGGGAGCTTTTCCTAAAAGGCTGTAGCCACAGCATCCCTCCAAAGCCAAGCAATTAACAGGCAAAGCAAGCTACAGCCTGAGACAGAGACCCACAAAACCTCTCTGCAATGTAGGCACAGACTCACCACTGGGGGCAGCACACAACCACCATCCTGGCCTCCAAAACCAGAGAACAAATTGGATCAGAAGTCAGCACACACCCCCTAGAGGACATCTCAGGCAGGTGTTAGACAAATAAGGACTTGATCAACTTTAACAGAGGCAAAAATAACATCTGAGAAAAAAAAATGACATTATCGAAATACCGGATGGACGAAGCAAGAGAAGTGAGCTTTAATCCCAGCACTCAAGAAAGCAGAGGAGAAATGACCATAAGTTCAAAGCTATCTTCAGCTATATATAGCCATCAAGGCTAGCCTGGGATACATAAGAAAGGCCCTGTCTCAAACTTAAAAAAAAAAAAAAAAAAAAAAGCCAGGACTTGAAAAAAAAAATCACTCATAATTCCTACCTAAAACACTGTGCATTGTGTGTATTGAGTATAAGTGTGTATCTGTATGCATAGTGTGTATACAGTCTGTGTGTATGTGTCTGTGTGCATATGTGTATGCATAGTATGTGTGTATAGTATGTATGTCTGTGTGTATAATGTGTGCATGAGTGTATTGTGAGTTCATGTATATATGTGTATGTGTAGTGTATATGTGTACATGTGTGTATATGCATATGTGTATAGTATGTGTTTGAGTACATATGCATGTACGTATATGTGTACATGTGTACTGTGTATGTATAGTATGTGTGGGTGTGTATGTGTACAGTATGTATAGTGTGTATGCATATATGTATATAGTATTATGTGTATGTATGTGTATATGTGTGTGAAAGTATATATATGTAGTATGTGTATAGTGTGTGTGAGTTTTATAGTGCACATACAGTATGTCTCTGTATGTATGTGTATAACATGTGTGTATAGTACATATGTGGAGGTCAAAGGACGACATCAGGTATTTTGTCACTGTCCACTGTATGTTTTTTTAATTATGTGTATATGTGTGTCTGTGTTGTGTATATCATAAATATGTGGGTGCCCTCAGAGGCCAAAAGAGAGCCCCTCAAACTGAAGTTACATCCCCCGCCCCCACATGGGTACTTGTGACTAAATGGGTTCCCTGGAAGTGTTCTTAACTGCCAAGCCATCTCATTGGCTCCTCAACCTACTAAAAAAATTATTTTAAAATTTCTGGGACAGGGATTCACTCTGTAGCCCTGACCGGCCTTGAACTCACAGAGATCCACATAGTCCTGTACTTCCGTCTTAGTTACTTTTTTTCTATTGCTGTGATAAAACACCACGAGCAAGGCAGCTTAGAGAAGGAAGGGTTTATCTGGCTCACGGTTCTTGGGGCACAAGAGTCTTTCATGGCAGGGAAGCACAGCAGAGAGCACAGGCTGGGTCCTCCTAAACCTCCCCAAACAAAACCTAAGCATTTAAATGCCTGAGGCAATGGAGCCATTTCCCATTCACTATCACAGCCCCCACCCCAAAGTGCTAGGATTAAAGGCTTGTGCCCCGAACTGGCTCCCCACCTGATCTTTTGAGACAGGGCCTCTCACTGAACCTGGAACTCACTGTCTCAGCTAAGCTGGCTGAACAGAAAGGTCATGGGAGCCTCCTGTCTTTCACCCAAGCACTAGAGTCAGAAATGTGGGCTTCCATGCCTAGCTTTTCACACGGGTCCCAGGGATCTGAAATCTAGTCTTTATCCCTGCACAGAGGTCTCAACTGACAAACCTAACTCCCAAGCTGCGTTCTCTGTGGGGATTGATTTGTTCTGTTGGAACAATGTTTGGGTTTTGTTTTCTCTTGTGACAGGGTTTCACTGTGTCACCCAGGCTGGCCTAGAATTCAGGACTCTCCCTTCGTCAGTCCCCTGAGTGCTGGGAATACAGGCACGCATGACCATACCCGGCCTAGCACTCACTGTTAACAGTGTATCTCTTTAGTGTCTCAACTTATACATTCTTATATTTAAAATCCTTCAGGTCATAGGTCTAGTTTTGCAAAGTATTTCTCATATACTTTAATCTGTTTTTGCAATCCAGCAGACTGAACATAATCTGTCGTTTTCTTGAAGATCTGGGGCCCCTTAGCACTGGTGTGAGCTCCAGGCAGGTCCTTGGGCTGCTCAAAGTCAAGGTCACAGATTGGCTTTCCCTGCACTTCTCCAGGTCCTGCCCACACCAGGCATCCATCCATCCGCCCTACTCCCCCTATGCTAATTATGTGCTTTTTAATGAGGGAGCTAAGCAATTAACTAGATAATTAAGCATATTGAGTGGGGATAGAAATAGAAGGAATGGGGGTACAGGTGCCCCACAAGGCTATGATTCTGGAACTTGAAAATACCTTTGGCCTCCTTTACAGCCACCAACTGTTTCCTGAAGAGCAATGGCTGGGGAATGCGGTTGGAACTCACACCACCTAAAAGGCCCACAACTTCTCAGCGCCAACCTTGTCTCTGTGAACCAACATTTGTCCAGGCTGGGGACAGGGTCCTTTCACATACATGCAGACAACCAAATTATGCACTACACAGATATATGTTTTTAGTGTGCATGCTTGGCATGTGTGTGCATTGCTGTGTGTACTTTATATTGTGGGATGTACACAGATACACATGTACATCTGTGAGGTGAGAGTGAACAGTGGCTCTCTTTCCTCAGTCATTCACCGTCTTTACTTATAATTTATTTTAATTCCAATAATTTACGTCCTCTCTGTGTGTGTGCGCGCGAGTGCACGTCCATGCATCCATGTGTGACCACCCATGCCACAGCACACGTGTGGAAATGAGAGAGAAGCTTCTAGGAGTTGATTCTCTCCTTTGACCACATGGATTCCAGAATCAAACTCTGGTAGACAGTCTCAGCAGGAAGCCATCTCCCCAGAGCCTCCTTTATTTTTGGAGACAGGGTTTCCTGAGGAACCTGGAATGAACATCAGGATCCCACTGGTGTCTGTATTCCCCAGTGCTGGGGTCCCAGGTGCACACAATCCTACCTGGCTTTTCATGAGTTCTGGAGAGCTGCGTTCAGTTCATCACACCTGTATGGCAGACTCTTTACCGAATGAGCCTAGGGCCATTTACTCATGTTGTTTGTCTGTTTTCATCTAAATAAAGTCAATTTCTTTACCAATGATAATTAATCACCAATGATAATCACCA